TTTTAAAAAAATTATCAGACTCTTTTGAGAATGTACATTATTATTTTTGGTAAATGTCAGGACACATAGAGTAACATTGAACAGAAGCACTGAATTACTAATTGAGGTACAAGAGCCAGAGCTAAATGCTTTTCTCTAAACTACAATCATTAATTCAACATATTCTGCTGCCAATGGTACTCTGTCCACTATGGGTGCTATAAATGTTATGTATTGCAAGCCTGTTTCTATAACCTTCTCTCCGTTATCAGTGGGCTGTGTTATAATAGGGATGAGATATTTTATAGTAAAAGTTAAATGAAAAAGTAGTAATTTCTAAACTTGATCTTCAACCTTCCTGTGAAGGGTCAAGTTACTGGATGAGTGTGTTGCTCATGCACACCTGGCCTTTTGAAAACAAATGAACAATCTGTCTGCAACTCTGGCTACCAAAAAACAGAATTAACATAAAAAAGTGTCAAACCTCCTTAAACAGCCAGACCACTGGTTGCAAAGACTGCAGAAGAACTGGTACAAAGGTGTCTTAGCCAAAAACATAGCCATGATATATTACCCTGAGTGTGCCAGAGAAATGCAAAGTAGAAACAAAACAAAGCAAAACAACTGAATTGTCCAATTCTTATTCATGATGTCCTACTTTTTTTATAGGGAATTTTCCCCCCTCTAATGACTATATGTCATAATGGGTTAGTATCAGCTCATTTAAAAAAATGGGAACCAATCCAAGGAAAACACACAGGGTTGCTGCCCTTTTCACCAAAACTCTTTCATTAATGTTGATAGAAGCACATTTCACCACAGCAATTTGCATGGCAGTTGAATTGCTGTTTGTATTGAACAGCAAATCAGAGAAGAATAAGGGGAAACATGAACATGCCGGTGGTGAGCAAGAGAGCAGAGCAGCCCTCCAGCTTTTTCCACGCTGATCATTTGTTTTAAAGTTTATAAGAACAAACAGGATTGTTCATTATCATGAGGGGCACTAAGTTGTTACAGTATTAAATCACTTCAACTATCTAGAAATCTCACCCATATTCTCATCTTGTGTCTGTTCGCAATACAGTAGTGTTTCTCAGAGATGCCCAGTAGCCACATTTCTTCAGCACTGGTTAATGACCCTGTTCATCATTGCAAATGCATGTATGTGAACAATACACCTAACAAGTGAGCAATTGCGTAGAGCAGTAACGTAGTTGGAGCAGGGAATTTGGGGGATCTAAGGTAAGTGTCAATGGTAGGGAGGCAGTAGTTAGGAAGAGATGGATATAAAGACATAGAAGCCCTGGTTGTTGACATCAGAGTACTTCTAAAGCAAGTCAAGAGAATGCAAACAGATGTGTATTTTTTAAAATCACAATATGCAGAAGGGTACAATTAGGCCGTGAGTCATACAAGTGATAAGTAGAGCAGGAAGAAAGAAGAGCAAAGCTCTAGGCGTGGCTTTAGTACTAACTGGGTAATCTCACGCAAACTATTTTCCTTCTTTGAGCCTCATGTCTTCATCTATTTATTGTAGAATGAAACATTTTAATATGGAATAGAAAGTTCTTTCCAACTCTTATGTTCTCTAGGTTTCTGAATAGAGATAAGAAGGTTCAATAAATACAACCACATACTCAGAGACTTTTAAAAATGGCAGCAACACCACTAAAGCTTATTTAAGCAAAAGCAAAAAATAAAAATAAAAAGAAGAATTTATTGGAAGTCCAGGTTATTTGTGGGCTTCCAGCAAGGATGAACGTAGTCCTCAATGCTCTTTTTCCTGGCTCTCATTTCTTCTTTGCCAGCCTCACTGTTGAACAAGTTCCTTCAACATAGTAGAAAATACAGACTTAGAAACACTAGGCAATGTAAGCTTGTGGCTTTAGAAGGAGAGAGTATCTACCCATTTTAATCCCTGAGAAGGATTCCTACTGGTGTTTCTTAACTCCTTTGCTCAGGGAGGTAAAATGCTCTGACTGCCAACCTGGGTCATGACCTATTTGGGGGGCAGGACAGATTAGTTAGGGCCCCTTGACTGAAAATTTCACAGGAATCACATGGAAAAGGGGAATAGTGGTTCTCAATGGGAAGGGATATGGCACAAAGAAAAAAAACAAAAAGTGTCTACTTATACCCATTATATAAGCTAGGCAGTAGTTCAGTCAGGGAGAACATTTATTTAAAATTTATGTATTTTAAATGCCAATTCTAGGAATTCTTCTATAGTTTTATTCAGCTGTCCCTAATCAATCATTGTCATTGGCACCAGGTTTGTTGGAAAAGCCATGTGACTGCTGTATATTTGGAGAAAACTGAGAGCATAAGTTTTACATTGCTATAATTCTATGAAGTTAAGTGAGTAGACTGAACTTCTTTACATATGTATTTTATCAGTTGAGTGAGTTGTGCTGGGCTGCATAAGAGATCCTGTACCCATTATTTATCCAGTAGGTTTTATCTAAGGTGTTTGATGCTTAACAAACCAGGTTGAGTCTAGAAGAACAAGATTAGTTTTCTTTTGTGGTTGATGGACCTCACTAAGCATCAGTCCAGTTCCACTGCACCATTAAACAATGTAATTCATTACAAAGGGCCCTGCTCTGAGAACATCTAGTCTCCAGAAGTAATGGAGCTAAATGACCATGTCCTCATAGGGACACAGCAGTGATCTTATATTTCACGAATATCAAAGAGAATTAGGTTGAAGACACAGTTTGCTCAAACTAGTTGGAGTGGGGCATTTGGCCTGTCTGATGTCCATTCTTCCTCCTTCTGTTACAGTATCCTCATTTTGCATCTGGAAACTATCATTTCTGTTCTTAGTCCAGTCCTTTTGAGATTATCAATGAAAGTCTCCATACTTTGCCCTAGCCAAGCAGTAGGGAAGAGGTCTAAGCTAAGCTCATTAGCTGTTCTCTTTATGAAGTTTTATCTTGAATGGAATGACACAAAGATCAGAAGCACCCAAAATAAAATGCCCATTAGCTCATGCTACCCACATTCCAACCCACCTAGACCTTCTGTTGTTATTCCCTTCATATTCTGGGTCCTCTTTTCCCTGATTTACCTATTAGTTACTTCTATATCTCTCTAACAAATTCTAAGTGCTTGTTATTCAGTTCACAACTCATTGTGGTCAGTTGGCAAATGCTAGGTATCAGTCATTCCCAAATTCCATTTATTTAGCTCATGATTCTGTGAGTTGGAGTTGGCACTGTGCTCAGCTGGATAGTTTGTCTCGTCTCAGTTGGGCTCCCATCTGAGTCATCTGTGGTCATCTTCAGGTTGGCTGGGCAGCTCTGCTTCTGGGCTTTTGCTGGCTGCCAGCTGGGGCCACCTGCAGGGAGGCAAGGGTAGGAAGGGTCCTGTGCCATGTGTCTCTTGTCATATAGCAGGTTTGCTTGGGCATGTTCAAATAGTGGTGACAGGGTTCCATGTGGAAAACTGAAAATGTGTGAGACCTCTTGAAGCCTCAGTGCAGATTGACGCAGTTGCTTCAGCTATGTTCTTTTCACCAAATCAAGGTAGGAGTGAGCCCAGATGCAAGAAGTGGAGAAGTAGATGCACATGGCCTCTTGATAGAAGTAGCTACAGTGTCACAATGAAAATAAGCAAGGAAGCAGAAAGAGGAATGATTGAGGGCACTTAATATACAAAAACTCAAGTTGGTTTCTGTACCTTATAGCTGAAGAACCTGATATACCAACCAAAAACCCCTTTTTAAAATATACCCTAAAACATTGTCGTGCTCCTCTAACTTTATTGATATGATTGATTATAGGAGATTTGGGAAGCCAAAGTCAGTTCTTCTACAGCATACAGAATAGAAACTACTTCTTATCTTTAATCCCAGGACATGTATCTTGAGGAGATTGCTTGCCACTTCTCTATAGCCCTCTTAGCTGTGCAGTCTCAAAGGGCCATCACTGTAAGTTTTGTCATCTGCCAGATCTCTTGAAGTTTCTGTGTCTTGCCTGCCCAGTTATGACACACTGGCATGACTCTGCCACCCCACTATACTACCACTTTCTGCTGTATCTAGTGTAGCACTTGTTAAAAACATTTGGGTTTGCATTTCTGGGATATATATTGAATTTCTGTAAGTTCTATTTTTCTTTTATGCAGCATAGCCTCTTGCTAAGCTATATCAATCACAGAGTAAGGCAAATGCTAATATTAATGTATGCTGCTGTGGGTGTTTCTTGCCAATTTTCATCCAAGTTCTGACTCAGCCTCATCCTCTTTAGGTTGTGAGATCTAAATAAGATTATAACACAGGGTGGTATAGCTGCAGGCAAAAAATATATTTTCCTTTATAACAAGTTCAAAAATTAATGTAGGGCACTGGAACACCACAGCCATATGCATGCATTAAGGCAGAATCTTCAGTTGACTACCTTCCAGCCACTAATTTCTCTGAGATGGTGCCAAGCTCTTGGTCAGATGTGGCTTCAATACATCCCACCCTCTCAGTGTGAAATGATAATTAATATGACTTTATAGTTGAGGTTGTGTTCTTACTTCCATTAATAACACCCATTATACCAGCATGTTTTAATTTGATTATAAAACTTGACTTATGAAGGTAGAACTTGGCTTGGGAACTTATTTTAAGAGCAAATGATTTGTTTCTAATTTTTCTTTCAAAAGAAAGAGACTTTCTCTTTTAAAGAAAATTTGTGTTACTTTTGAGTTATTTAAACATTGTATAAAATTTCTAAACTATTGGTATGCTTATGGATTTGTAATTGATATGGTATCATCCTCTGGTATCTTAAATAAAGCTGGGACCTCCCAGGGCTTCTCAGCTAGCTTATGTTTGTCAGCGTCCAAAGCTCTGCCACATGTCACCAGTTGGGATCAGAGAGCATTGTTTTTACATTGCTTCTCACACTTAAACATTAAATTCTTTTCCCAGGCAACAGTTTTTTCAAGCTATTGACTGTATAACATTTGATGATAAGAGGCAACCCATTTTTACATTGTATTTTGATGGGTATTTTACTTTCTTGTTGTAGATCTGCTGGAAGAGACCCAAAGAAAAGATGAAGAAATGGGATCTCTGCAGGTAAAGTAAATTCTCAGATAGCGCAAGTATCTTTGAGATAAAAGCATTTGTTTTTTGCTCTGTTATCCTTTATTACTGTCACATTCAATTGGTATAGCAAAGGGTGTGACAGGTACAGTGTTAGGTCTTTAAAGCTAACATTGGAACTTGTTTCCTTTAGAAGTCTTTGAGAACACTTATAACCAGAAGCAGGAAGCCAACTCAGCCTCTATCCTAGTTTTGAAAGAAACCTTTATTCTTTGGTATCACTTAATGGGAACTGCCACATTAGGAAATGAAGGCAATATCCTTTCAAAGTCATTTTCCCCAAAACAGGTCTGATGAATGAGGATGAATTCATGGAATCTACATTTTCATATGAAAGTTAAAAGTATTCCGACTCCATGGATGTCATCTACCACTGACCAACTAACACACACATCTATGGAGATTAAAGTTTATCTTGTATAGCCTCTCAATTTACCACGGGTTTATACACATTTCTTGGACTGGAAAATTGTGTTTGATTGAAAGATTTCACTAGAATTTTAATTGAAATTTCCATGTATGAGCAATTGATGTTAAGTTGGCATCTGACAGAAGTTCTTTCTTCCTTTTACATTGGGCTAACTTACAAGTGGGTAACTCAAGTGTCTGTCTTTATTATGAGAAACATAATCAGTTATGCTCACATGACAGAACCAATTCACTTAATGTCATGTTGGGGATTAAGAACAGTAAATACTTTGGACATTTAGAGTTCTTCGTGGGCCTGGAGCTATAAGGCAGGATTGGACAGTGATATAATGAGCTGGCTTGAGTGCTTTAGGGGTTTAGGGGTAAAGATGTTTGCTTTTGGCAAATGAAGGATAGGTCAAGTAAAGGCCAAAGAGCAAGGGAAATGATCTGTGATTGGGGAATCTTCTGTTTGATGGTATATCCATTAAGAGAAAATTGTATGATTGATCCAGAAATGCTGATGAAACATAGTTCTACACATCTAATAAAAGTGGCGCTTGTTAGCTACAGTTTTATACAGATTAGTTTCTGTTAACATCTTTCAATATATTCAGGTATAAAAAGAAAGAACATTGTTTGGTCCAGTCAGGGGCTAGGAAAAATCTCAAGCATATACTCACCCTGCCTAATTCTGTGAAATTAATATCAGCTATGCTTGTTGTCATAGAAAGCAAAGTTCTATGTACACTAAATGTGTATACTGAGAAGGCAGTAAAGTATCTTTGAGACATTTCAGCTATGTGCTGTGTTTGCCATTGCCCCCAGAATACCACATATAAACATATTTGTTAAACATATATCTTTTGAAATGGCAGGACAAATAGTTTTGAGTTTCTCTCACAATACAAATGTTGGAACCAGTAATCTCATTAAATTTAATAGGCTATGTTACTTCTCAAATATTTAGTAAGTACTGGCAGCATTTTCTACAAAAATGTCCATTCAGTGCAATAGAATATACTAGCCAGCTAGCTGTGGACATTTATAGATGTAGAGTGTGCCATATGATGTCCTATAGCAGAAGAGTTTAATGTTGGCACTTTGTACTGGTGATTAGTGCCTGATACTAGCACTCTATTAAGAATAAAGAGAGAATTGACACCTCTGAGAGTGCATAAGAGTGCAGAGGCACATCACAGAAAGCCTTTGATATTAAACACTAGAGGAAAATCCATGGAAAAGCACCTATATTCCTAAGTTTCTATATTCACATATATCAAAGGTGGTAGTTTAGAGAAAACTATTAAAGTATATAGGTTGAAGTCCTACAATCACACGATAGCTCTGCTTCTGATTTACTGGGTAACCTTGGATAACTCAATTAACTTTGCTGTGCCTATTTTCTCATCTGTAATATAAAATCATAAAACTGTCTTGCAGAAGTGTTTAGTGTGGATTAGATTATCCCAGAGGGGAGAGCTAAATATTTAATTCCAATTTACAGTGTTAGCAGATCCTCATGTATCCAAATTGGAGTCAATTTTATTTACTCATTATCATCTTATAATTATGTATAACAGATATTCTGCATTTAATATTATTTTCCTTAAGGGTGGGGGGGTATTTTATTTAGCTCTAAATCGTTCCCAGTTTTCTGTAAATAAAAGGTACTCCATTTTCTCATTGAACAAATGTTTATTGAGCACCAGTTCTGTGCATAGCACTGTACAAGGTGCTAGGGATACAAAGGCAAGCTACATGTACTGGATAGCTTCTTGCTCTCTATATCAGAATTAGTGGAGAAGACTATCAAATGAATTTATAATAAAATGAGTGTTTATAATAAAATACTAAATAGTCATATTAATGGGAATGTATAAGTTGCAGTGGGAACATATATTACGAAAATCTGTCCTTGTTTGTTGTAGGGAGGGTAGGTTTGGTGGGAGTGAACAGGAAGTAGGTGTAAGTGCAATTTGAAGGTAGGCATGTTGAGCTGGAATGGGGTGGCAATCCAAGTAGGCTTCCCAAAGGAAGCCAGTGTTTAAATGATAACTAGGAGTTAGCTAGGCAAGTTGAAAAGAAACGTGAAGATAATAAAAGTTTTAGGCAGTTAAAAGGATATGGGAAGGCCTAGGATAAGAGAAAACACAGTTTCATGTTTAAGAAACTGAAAGAAGTTTGGTATGGGAGAATGTATCATCTGAGAGAGGAGAGGCAAAACAGGAGTTTGTAGAGTAAGCAGAGGTCTAAAGGATCTCCTGAAAGAGTTTGGACTTTACCTTTAGTATGAGCGAAACCAGTTAAGGCTTGGCAAGAAGAAAATGATATTATCAAGTTTGCATTTTGAATAGGTGACTGGCTGTAAATTCAAAAATAATTAGGAACAGGCAAGATTGAAACCAAGGAGACCAGTTAAGCAGATATTTGTGAGACTCTTGGCAAGAGATGATGGTGACCCGGATTGAGCAATAGCAGAGAACATGAAGAGCGGGTGGTTTTTAAATGTATTTTACCATATAAAGCCCATGGAACTTTGATATTGGATGTTAAGGGGTGAAAAGAAAGGAGTTAATGATTCTTGTATTTCTTGATTGGGCAACTTCAAGGATGGTTGTGCTAGTCAATGAGGTAGAGAGAAGTTGGTCAGTTCAATTTTTTATGTTTTCAAACATCCAAATGGCAATGTCAAGGGTGAAGGTTCGTGTGAATCTGGAGCTCAGATGTTTAAACTTGACATGCAGAACTTGATGTCATCAGATCTTGCATCCGTATTATATGGATGATACTAAAAGCCATAGGAGCAAATGAGAACTCCCAGGAGAATTGTGTAGAATGAGAAGAAATGAAAGCCTAGTCACAGCAACATATAAAAATGTTCAACATCTCTAATCATTAGAGAAATGCAAATCAAAACTACCATGAGGTATCATCTAACCCCAGTGAGATTGGCCTCTATCAAAAAATCCCAAAACAACAAATGCTGGCGACGATGGAGAGAGACAGGAATGCTCTTACACTACTGGTGGAACGGCAAAGTAGTGGAAGCTCTGTGGAAAAGAATTCGGAGATACCTCAAAGAGCTAAAAATAGAAATACTATTTAATCCAGCAATAGCACTATTAGGCATCTACCCAAAAGAGCAAAAGTTGTTCTATAATAAAGACATCTGCACCCGAATATTTATGGCAGCACAATTCACTATTGCAAGGATGTGGAAACAACCTAAGTGCCCATCAATTCATGAGTGGATTATTGAAATTTGGTAATGTATACAATGGAATATTACTCAATTATAAGAAATGACAGTGATATAGCACCTCTTAAATTTTCCTGGATTGAGCTTGAGCCCATTATCCAAAGTGAGGTAACACAAGATTAGAAGAATAGGCTCCACTGTACTTGCCATCAAATTGGTACTGACTGATTAACACAATTGTGCTCACATGGTAGTAATATTCTCCAGGGATGGGGGTTGGGAGATTAAACTCACAGCATTCTGTGTGCATTGTGAGGGGGAAGGGCAGGCCTCTAACCCCCACTAGGGAGAGGCAAAAAAAAATGTAACCAAAATGTTTGTACCCTAACCTCAGGGCACACCAACATTTAAATAGTAGACTAAGCACGAAAATCCTGCAAAGGAGTCTAAGACAGAGCAAAAATAATTTCAGAAGAACATAGTGTTATGAATCTTAGCAAAAGAATATTTCAAGGGGAAAAATCATCAATAGAACTGAATAAATATATTTTAAATCCTTGGATCCATTTAACTATGGGGTTTAGGTTTCAAAACAAAAATTTATCATCAGATGAATTGTAGTTTCCTTTTATACCTGTGAAGCAAATCTTATGTTTTTTGCTTTCTCAGATGTTCACTACTTAGCACAGTGCCTCATCATGGTGGGTACTCAGTAATTTTCTGTTGACAAAACAAACAAATGGCACCCTATTTGTCTCTTATTTATATAGAACCTATTCCTGGATCTCCTTATGGTCCACCCATTAAAAAACAACACTCATCTCTATTCCGGAGTTCATTTTTGGCTTAAATTTTTTGAGGGGAATTGTCCAAGTTCTGTCATTCCTGTGCACGCGCGCGCGCGCACACACACACACACACACACACACACACACACACACACACAGGAGTAATTTGGCATGAGTGATAAGAAGCAATGGAAAAGGATAAAATAGCAGGTGGAAGGGTTGGGCAGCAGGGAAGAGTGTTTTCAATCTTCAGAGGAATCACAAACAATGAAGACAAACATATTTGACAGTGATTTTTACAATGCAGCTTGTAATTACCAAAATTCTTCATTGGAGCTTAACATTGTCTGGCTCATTTTTCTGTGACATTCATTTGCAGTTACATTGTGTGCTGCTCTTCTTAAAAACAAAGTGTTGTCTTTGACTATAAATGTGTAGTGCAGTATCAGAGTTCTATTTGCATATGGGTTTGAGGTGCATTGAAACAAGCAAATCCCTTCTTCAATCCTCTCAAGATCAGCTGAAACATTTAAAATAGACACAAAAGGTAATCCATTTTTCCTCAGTGTAGTTGA